TAGCAACATCCAGTCTGCTGCTAATGCCATCCACTGTATTTCTCAACTCAGACATTGTAATTTTTATTCCTAGAGGTTATATTTGGGTCTTTTTAGGTAAGCTCGGTGTCTGCACTTAACTCCTCATTATGCCTCGTCTTTATATTCCTGACAATTCTAGGAGTGCCTGGGTGGTTCAGTCGGTTAAGTTTCTGGCTTCTGTTCAGGTTGTGATCTTGTGGTCCATGAGTTCGAGCCCCGCGTTGGGCTCTGTGCTGACAGCTCGGACGGAGCCTGGAGGCTGCTTCGGATTCTGTGTCTCCCTCCCTCTGCCCCTATTCCACTCAAAATTAAATCAACATTAAAAAATTAAATTTACATTCCTCACAATTCCAGAGTGGATACCAGACATTGTGAATTTTATCTTGTTGAGTGTTGGACATTTTGTTTCTCGTGAATATTCTTGAGCTTTGCTCCTGGACACAGTGGCCAGGACACATTTTGATCTTTCAGATCTTTCTCTGATATGTTAGGAGGGGTCTGATCAGCAACGGGTCTGCGGGGAGCTGACGCACTCCTGAGGCAAGATCTTCCTGTGTACTCTTCTCACTGTTCCAGAGACCAAGAGGTTTCCCAGTGTGGCTGCTGGTAACCGACGTTACTTTCTGCCCCGCTCAACTGTGGGCAGTGTCACCTCTAACCCTTTTGGACAGTTCCTTCCCTGGCCTTGGGTTGTTTCTGCACACACGTGTGCTGATTAGTTCTCTAACTGAACACTTGATGGGGACCTGCTGCAGGTCCCCAAGTCCTCTATGTATCTTTCTCCCCACCTGTAGTCTGCCCTGGGACCTCTAGTTACCTTGGTCTCCCTGCATTCTCAGTTTCGTCTCCTCAGCTCAGGGAGTCCTCCCGGCTCCGCTTGGGATGCCCTCCTCCCTGCCACTGCAGGCTGAAGACTCTCACAGCGCTGAGATGGGGCAATTGTAAGGGCTCAGCCCTTTGGTTTCTTGTCTCTCAGGAGTCACTGAGGTTTGTTGCACAACGTCCAGGTTCTGAGAACTGTTGCTACACATATTTGTCCATTTCTTGGTTGTTTCAGGCACGAGGGCAAGTCCAGTCCATCTTGGTCATAGTTTCAGAGTTTCTTGGCACATTTCAGTTAGGGATGATGAAAAAATTCTGGAGATGGATAGTGGTGATGGTTGCACAACCCTTAAAATGCACTTAATGCCGCTGAACTGTGCACTTAAAAGTGGCTCGAGTGATACATGTTATGCTCTCTCTATATCACCACAATAAAAACATTTTTAAAGCTACCTCAGCCAAAGGAAGTATTAGTACTGTACTTTGAAGATAACAACACAACCCACTGCCTGTGGCTCCAGCCACAAGTACCCAGGTTCACCCCTGCCTCAGGCCTCTACGTGACCTTCCCTGTGCCAGGGGACTCCTCCTGTAGGTATGCTAAGCACGAGTGGCCCACAAATCACCCATCCCAAGTGCATACCCTTCAGTAAGCCTTCCCAACACCTGTCAGGGACACCCCCCAGCTCCCCATGGTAACATCCTGCACACCGGAAGAAGAAAGACAAGCTCAGCCAACTGTAGGTTGGTCCGGTGGCCTTTGCAAGGCGCTGATACCTCCATTTTACAGATGGGGAAACTGTGAGTGGATTGGATGCTGTCAGGAAGCAGAGGCATCTCAGAGATATGTGTTAGGAGGGCAGGGCAGGGGGAGGCTCATCTGTAAGTGATGAAGGAGCAGGGGTCACTGGTATTGGTTGGGACAGAATATATTTGAGATTCTGTGGGTGACACAGGGGCCTTGTTTCGGTCTGTGCTTGGGCACAGTTACGTTTTGTCTCACTGTATCATAATGGAGCTCCTCTGCAAGGTTGTCTGGGTCCAACGGGAGAACACATGGCCTTGCTGTGAGTGCCAGGTGAGCTTCCAGTGGCAGGGACTGCTCTCGTCATTCTCAGAGATCTTACTAGTATCTACTTCACGGAAATAATCCACATAAAGTGCTTAGCGTGACACCCTGTGAAGATTAATCCTGATGGTATATGGATGGTGGAGTTGACATGGAACGGGCAGGGAATGATCCTGGAGAGCCAAGCAGATGGGTCTCATGGCTAGGTAGAAAAACAGAGGGCTCACGTGCAGACTGTGCTTTAGGAAGACCACTTGGAAGAGAACAGGGAGGGGTGGTGAGAAAGCAGGCAGGAGGCCAGTTAAGACATCATCCTGGTGACAGGTGAGACATACAGGAGACAAGACAGGGTGGAGTATATGGAAGGCGTGACCGCTGACAGTGGGGAGAGGGTCAAGGAGAGCGGTGGGACCTCTGTAATTTGAAGCCAGGGTCAAGGTTGTGAGGCTGGTGGCAAGCCCTCTCCTCCATGGCAGCGATGCTTGTAGTCGTTACATAAACGGGGTGGCTTGCAAGGCTAGGTTCAGAGGAAGGGTCTGCTGCTCAAAGCTCATTTGGAAAGGCACACGTGAGGTCGGGCCGAAGTGAGAGGAAGAGTGGGAGGAGTGTCGCAAAGCTTACTGGGTAGCTCTGCAGGTGGCTCACAAAGGGACACGTGGCATCAAGGTGGCAGAAGAGGACAGGCCCCAGGGTGGCTGGGGCTGGTGAGGGGAGGCAGCGTTAAAGAAAGTACTGCCAGTGGATCTGAACACAGAGCCACGAGGTCCCTTTCGAGATGCAGAACGATCTTGACTCGTGTCCGGTGAAGGTATCTCCGGCTATTCTCACGTGGAGGGCTTATCAGGCAGCCTGTGCAGGGTCCGTGTCCCTGGTCAACAACATCTAAGGCATGATGCCGTTGAGCACAACTTCCCTGCTCCGAGATCACGTCCACCTTCAACCCTCAGTGGCTTGGCCGCCTACGTGGTGTCCCACGGGCCCCAAAGCTTAGGTTCACGAGGACAACCTTGACTCACCTTGAGACAAACAAAGGAGATGCACCCTTACTCTGCGCTTTCTGTGTGGGACGCACATGTGCGTGCACACACACCCTGACTCCTCCAGGTCTGCAGGGTCTGCAACCACACTCTCCTGTCATCCAGCACGTGGCCCGCCCAGCATGCTTTCCTAGGGGCAGCTTCCTCCTCCTTCCTCCAGTGCAGTGGGAAGTTCATATTGGCATAATGTTCCCTTTTATATCACTCCTATTCATATTACTCAAAAACAGTTCTCTTTGCCTCGAAGGACCCAAAGAAATTTGACCAGTCTGCCCCCTTGCCCAAACTCCATCATCCTCTAGGAACGAAAACCTTACGACAGTAACTTTCATTTCTTGAGAATCTACTGTGCTGGGTCTTTGTGTCATTTGGGATGTCTTCAGTTGTCTGTTATGGAGACTGCTATGTAAACCAGCTCCACAACATGAGAATGTACAGGTTCACGGTTCACTTTGTGGGACAGAACTTACACGGGGTCTGTTCCAACTGTGCGTTTCTCTGCGGAGGCCCAGAAAAGAGCTGAAGGGTTTGCCCAGGTGCAGGTGTGGGAGTTGGCAGCCTACTCGAGAGGAGTAGGGGTGGGTGGGCCGGGGGCCTGCTGTGGCCTCCTCTCAGGTGTGGGCACGGCAGGTGGCTCCTGTCCACGTCTGCTTTCCCCGATCTGCAGCCATCGGCCCCTCTGTTGGCTCAGCTGGATCCTTCTTGTCCTGCGGACCTTTGCTCCAATGTCCCTTCCGTGTCGCCCAAGCGAGAGTAGTCACCGCCTCGAGTTACTGTCCATCACACAGCGTTTTCATTTCTTCTTCACCGGTTAGCCCTTCCTTGCTGGGTCCCTGCCTGGTGGAGCGCGGACCTGCACTGTCCTTTGTCCTCACCTGCAGCTGTCCTTTGGCCAACCCCTCCCCAATATCTTCAGGCCCTGCGTCTCTCTCCTGCCTCCCACGCGCCTCGAGGTCAGTCTGCGGTCGGTCGGAAAGTCGTCCGGCGGGGACCGTGCCTGGGCCCACCAGCCTCGCCGTCGCCCCTTTAAGCGCCAGGCGGGGGCGCACGCGCAGTCGGGCCGTTGCGCGCACAGGCGCAGTGGGGCGGCTGATGTTTACGGCGGCAGAGGTCGGGGCAGCGCAGCCTGGCCGCGGACGGGCGAGGGGCGCCCGAGGAGCTGCTGGTCGCGGCCCAGGCGGCCTGATCTCGCGGGCCGGCCGAGCCCGGAGGTAGAGCCGCCGCCACCGCCGCCGCCCTTGGCCCGGCCTGCGGCCTGCGGCGGGCGGCGGCGTCTCCCCCCGGCCCCTCCCTCCTCTCTGTCTCCCCTCCTGGCTCCCGGCCCCCGAGCGCCTGGACCCCTCCTCCGGGTGGCGTCCCTCTCCGCTCCGGCGTTCTCCTATCCTCTCCCCGCTTCCCTGGCCGTCTTCCCTTCCTGTCTCCCCTCTCCCCGCTCCTCGGGCGACTCCCCCCTCCCCCCTCCGCGGGGCGTCTCCTCCTCCCCCCAACCAGCGTTCCCCTCCCCGGGGTTCCCCCTCCCACATCTCTTCCTCCATCCCCCAACCCGACCCGGCACCTCCCCTCCAAGGAGCCCGGGTCCCTTCATTCCCCTGCTCCGCTGCCCGGGCGGGTGGGGGGGTGGGGGGGTGTTGTCTCGGGGTGAGCCTTGCGGTTCGCCCTCCAGCGTTCCAGGGCTTCCCGGAGGTCTCCCAGTGCCCGTTGCTTGCACGCTTGGATTTGCTTGACTCTACAGACGTGCAATCTAATCTGTCCCTAGTTTACTAAGTAGGAAGCGCTTGTAGTTCTAAGGCAAGTCAAGGTTTATCAGGGTTTAAAACAGATTCTACCTTGGGACTTTTCAGAAGGTGATAGTCTAGGGGCGTCTGGCTGGCTCAGTCAGTTGAGCATGGGTGTAGAGATTACTTAAAATTAAATCTTTAAAAAGAAAAAAAAAGGAGGTGATAGTCTGTGACATGGTTGGTTGGCCTTTCCAAGCCTTGGGGATACTAGAATTGGCACAGAGCCCCAGGACTTCAAGGCACCTGAAGAAGGTCTGTAGCTGGGGAAGGAGAACTTGCTTGGGGTGCCCGAGTTTTGTTTTCTTCCATGGGATGTGCCTCTCAGGTGGATGTTTGCTCGAGTGTTGTCCTCAAAAAAGCTATCTACATCTCTGTCTTTCCCCTTTGTTCGTCACAAACCTGTGATGGTTTTCTTCTTTCTTTTTTGGCAGAGGAGTGGCTGAAGTAAACAACTCTGTTTTGGGTGTTGAGTAGACTGTCCTTCAAGAATCAGTGAAGTCAGGTTCCTATAAACAACTCCCAACTTGTGGCTCTGCTTGGGTGAAGTAGAGCCTTACAGGTGGAATGAGAGGGGACCTCTGAGGTGATGGGGTCAGTGCCTTGACCTCTTGGACCCACCTCAGCTGTACCTAGCCTGGGATGTCTCTGGGGGTGAGAGGCTCTCCAGGTTCTGAGAACAGTGCAGTACTTGGAATCTAGTTGTTAGAAAGCTTTTCTGTGTGTTTAGTAGAAATGATCTCCATCTGATGTGTTCTGCCCCAGTTTTTATCGGTCCATGAATATTGTATATGTGGCAGCCTTTCAAGTATTTGAAGAAAATCCCTCTGTATGTATTCCTTTCGAGAGTTTTAGTTTTCAAGATGAGAAATCTGTGTTTCTTTCATTATTCTGCCAACAGGAGGTGTGGTTTTAGGTCTGTTTTCTGCTGGTCTCAGCCTATTAATAACCAACGCGGTCGGATTGGCCCTTGGGGTTATTATGATTGTAAGACACCTTTCAGTAATAACCATCAGGAAACTTTGAAAAAAACAAAGGTTTATTACTTACAGAGCCTGGAAATTTTATAGCATACCTGGGGCCACACAGTGAAGTGGGAGGCTGTGGAGAGAGAGATTGAGGGAGCACAGGCCTGGGTTCTGCTTTTATTGGAGTCGAGGGTGAGGGCCTAGGGGTTTCTGAGGCTTGATCTTTATTGGGGAGTTTACAACCAAACTTAAAGCTTGGGAAGAGAAAAGATAAGTGGCCCAAAAGGTCTCTTATCAAAATCAACTAAGAGCTGATCTCAAATAGAGGATACTCTGGGGGGAGGTGTCCTGGTTCTACCTCATTGAGTGGCAGGAGGCAAAATGTTTATTCCTCACCAATCTAAACTTAGGCACTGGCATTACAGACAAGAAAAACCTCACGGCTTACACTGCAGGGTCCTTTTCCTTCGCTCATTTTGCGTATGACATTACCGTGTCCATATTTCCCTTAAGAAGGGATATTCAGGTTGGAACACGACTCTCCATGTGTAGTCTGACAAACCCAGTGTGGACTGGAATCCTGAGCCCCCATTGTCACAGCTGTGCAGCTGTGCTGACCCAGCTATAGCCTCCTTGGTTGTCAATCACGAGACCTTCCCATGCCTGCTGCTGCCTGAACCATCTTCCTCACTGTCCACAGGCAGTTGATTTTGGAAGGAGCACTATGAGAATAAGGTTGTCCTGTTGGCCATTTACCCCAGAGTAGTGAATTACGTTGAGAATTGCAAGTCACGTGGGTGGTCAGTAATGAGCAGTGATTGTATCCAGTGTGAGGGAGGCAGGTTAGCAATATTGAACCCTATATAGATGGTCCCATGCATCCCACCGGTGACAACAGGTAGGGTTGCCCCATAGTTTTTAGTCTGTCATCTGGGGCAAAGATCACCAATGTGTTTTGTGTTAAAGAATGTTTCTCCCTTGAGAATTTTTAAAAGCTGCTTTTGGTGTGGGGTAACGAACGTAGGCCTTTGGCTAGACAGTCCTGAGTTTGAATCCTGGCCTTCTTCTCACACACTGGTGTGTGATCATGAGCAAAGTAGCTGCTCAATTTGCCTTGTCATGTCGTGAAACTAAAAGGAGCTCCAGTGGCTGGCAGGTGGTACCTGTAAAAAGTTGTAGCTCTTTTTAGTAAAAGGCTAGCTTTTGCATACTTTCAAAGTGAGGAGAAGTTGAAAATAAATGATAGATTACTTAGTGGAAAATAAAATGTACCCAATATATAGTTTTTGCTTTCTGGAGATAGAATGATGATATTGAGGTAGAATGATAGAACATTGTATGCAGGGTTAGAGCCTCCGTGGAGTATATGTGGTTTCCAGGCCTTTTCCTAAATAGACCTTTAAGCAGCAAATGCAACTCCACTTCTAAGCAGTGACCTAAATTTTCAGATGGCTGCCCCAGACTAGAGGTGTAGACTGTCGCCTCAGCACTAAGTGGCTTATCCAAGATTAAGCATGACCTCATTAGCACTCTCCCTGCAGCTAACTTTGCTGGCCGTGGACCCTAACCCTAACAGTGGCTCTGAAACGAGTTGAAACGGGGTGAAAGTCTAGTAATTGGACCACCCCAGTGCTTTGGAAAGTATGACCTTCAGCTCTAAAATCTTGATGAAGATGAAGGATCCCAACCATAAATGGAAGAGCGTTTGTGCTAAGCCCCATGTTTTACATATTTTGTGTGTTTGCTGTGAGAAGCGGACGATTCATTGTGTGGTCACTTGTTTTTATTCCTGGAAAACCTCTCCCGGTGCGGTCGCCAGCAGCGTACGTGTGTGTGGAGTCTCTACTGCTGATGGTTCTCGTTCTGCTGTTAGAAATGCAGACGACTGGGCGGCGGGGGGGGGGGGGGGGGAGCTGAGGATAAACCTTGTGATCATAAATTATGATATAGGAAGTTGTCCTGATTCGGAGAATGTGTCAGTCTTCGCGAAGTTTGGTGGTTTCTGTTTTTCCCAACAGTTTTATGTCAGATGTTTTGTAAAACGTTACCATTTTATGTGACGTAAAGTCATTCTTTTCAAAATAGTTATGTGGAGTAAGTATAAAATTGGAGAAGATATTTTTTGTGGTTTAGGAAAAGTAAGACCTCCTCAGCTGGGAGAATGTTATCCCTGAATTAGATGGAGAAACATTGTATGTTAGCAGTTGGCTCACAGGGGGTCACGCTTTTGTCGTCTTGAAGGCAGCTGGGAAGAAAGTAAGCAGCGGACCTTCTGTTGGTCAGAGGTGGAGAGGTTGCCGAGCATACAGTGCCAGAGGGGGTGTAGGACGTCTAGTAGCAGCTGTAGCCTGGAAACAGATTTTGTACTTGTTACGATAAAACGTCACCATTCATCCAGTTGGGCGAGAGAGTTTTGTTAGTGGTGTTTTTGCCTGAAATTTGTACATCCAGATATCCAAAAGAACAGACTGAATGGATCGCTCGCCTTGATGTTTATGTGTATGTGGGGGTGTAGAGTTGTCAGATGAAAATAGGACACCAGTTAAATTTTAATTTCAAATAAGAATGAGTAACTGTAGTATTTGTTGTTTACCTTAATTTCATTCTTTTTTGCTTTTAAAGAATGATTTACCAAAAGTGATCTACAACACTTGAAATATTCAAAGAGAAGCTGATATTAGCATGATTTTTTTTTTTTTTTTTTTTTTTTTTAGACCTATCTGTGTTCTTTTTGTGTTTATATTCAGTGACTTTGTCTTGTGTCCCTGTTAGGGCAGATCTATATTCAAGATAATTTCAGTCCTAAATGGCTGACTTTGTAGATTGACAATTTGTGCTGAAGTATCGAATTCATACTTACATGATGTTTTTCAGTTGTCAAATATGTTTTAGGTACCTCAGGGTCATTTGGATTCATTCGATATTATGAACTACAAACTTACTTCTGGATGGATACAATGGAATTTCATACATAACTTTTGGTTTGTTTTTAACCTTCTGAATTTGGCATCCTCGGGGTGGGGTGGTGGGTGGGTAGCGACAAAATACATTCCACGTGTATTATTTTAGAATTCGAAATTGGCTGTTATTAGAAACTCTGTTGGGCTTTTACCTGTTCCGTAAACAGCTCTTTGGAAACCTTTTCCATTGCAGCATTGCCTGAGTGTGGTCTTGACGATGGGAGGTGCTGTGAGTGCTGGTGAGGACAACGATGAACTGATAGACAATTTGAAAGAAGCACAGTACATCCGGACTGAGCTGGTGGAGCAGGCTTTCCGAGCTGTCGACCGCGCAGACTATTATCTGGAAGAATTTAAAGAAAATGCGTATAAAGACCTGGCGTGGAAGCATGGAAACATCCACCTCTCAGCCCCGTGCATCTACTCCGAAGTCATGGAAGCTCTGGACCTGCAGCCAGGCCTCTCCTTCTTGAACCTGGGCAGCGGCACTGGCTACCTCAGCTCCATGGTGGGGCTCATTCTAGGTAAACCTGGAGAGAGTGTGGGGCCTTGTCCCACGGCACTTGGCCTTCTGAGCACTCCCCCCCTGCTCCCCGGGGTTGTTTACGCACAGCCATTGGCTGGGCTGGTGGAGGGAGGCCTTTGAGTTTTCTGCGGGGACCCCTCCTGTTCCTGCCCCCTCCCACCTGAAGTTCCGCAGTCCGTTCAGCGCACCCTCCTTCTGGACGGCACAGGACCTAGAGAATTACAGTGGGACCTTACAGTGATTTCCTGATTAACACAGTCACACAGCCTGCCTTGTCTCTCTGTCTGTAAACTGAGACTAATTAAGTTTAAAGTTCCCTGGAAGTTAAAATTGTTCCAAGCCGTCTTGCTTTGCTTTGTTTTAATGCTAAAAGAGTTAATTCCTGTAGGTTTTTCTTTGTAAATAAATTCCAGGGATGGGAAGGACAAGTTATCTTATTTGAAGACATTTTGCCTCTTTCTCCAAACAAGATGTGAGACTGCACATGGGAATTGGCATTTTTGTTGTTGAAACAACAGGGCTGTCTGATAATTGAGGGCTCAGGTGTCTGTTTTTACTCTGAGTGAGGTGGAATGAGTAACGGGAGCTAACCTGTGCTTTAAAAGATTGCTGTAAAGAGGGGCTGGGGCTGCTGCAGCGGTCTGTGTGAGAGGGTGGCATCTGGACCACAGGCCCCAGGTGCCAGGCGTCGTGACGAGACCCGCTAAGGAATATCAGGAACGTGCCTGTGCGCACACACCTCTTGGTCAAACTAGTGTGAGATTCTTAGTTGGAGATTTCAGGCGAGAGCCATCGCTGTGCAGGCCACAACATTGTTTCTTTGCGGTTGTTACAGACAGTCTTAGCAGTAACAGTTGGTATTCATGGGTATGGAATGAAATTTTTGTTTTTTGTTTTTTTTTTTTTAAATGTTTATTTATTTTTGAGAGCGGGAGTGGGGGGAACCGAGGATCCGAAGCAGACTCTGCTGTCATCATGGAGCCCGACGTGGGGCTTGAACTCACAAACTGTGAGATCATGACCTGAGCCGGACTCAGACGCGTAACCAACTGAGCCACCCAGGCACCCCAAGATTTTTGGTATCTTTATAAGTTTATAGGCTTGGGAATTTGGTGATGTTTTGAGACTGATCATTTGACTTCAGGCTATAGATGGGTATCTTCAAATTTTTAAATGTGGTTTTTTTGTTTTTGTTTTTGTTTTTTTCCTCTTTTTAATGTTTGTTTATTTTTGAGAGAGCATGTGAGTGGGGCGGGCGATGGTGAGGCGCTCTGCGCTGACAGCATGAAGTCGTGAACTTTGAGATCGTGACCTGAGCAAGTCTGACCCTTAACTGACCGAGCCACCTAGGCGCCCCTTGTTTTGTTCTTTAAAGCTAAATGATTTTTGCACGCACTTTGTCTTGGATTTAAACTGCTTTGCACAGGACCCCAGGTTATGTGTCATTCTGGTATTAGTGAAGGGCAGTTCCCTTCAGTGGAGCAGAAAATGGGGGAGCTAAGGATGATACGATATTTGGCAGAGAGGGGGATGGGGTATCATGTTGACTAGGTTAGAAACGCTATTGAAAATAACTAAGAGCCTCAGGAAAAGAGGGCATATGGTAAGCCTGAGGTGACCTGTTGCACTGGACGTTCCCTAGAAGTCATAAAGAAATGGCTTGTGTTCTCTGAGTCCCCTGTTTGCTGGGAATGTAAGTAGATGTTGCAGTGGGGAGAGAGAGACCTGAAGGGGGGGAAGTTTTGGGGGGCTGTAGAGGACACTGTGTACTGCTTGGATGTATCTGAAGGAGGTGACTGGAGAGTTTCCTTTGCTGCACAGACATCTTGGATCTGCAGGGAGGAGGCTGCGTGCACTGGACCGATACCTGTGTCCCGACAGCACGTGTCCTGGACCTCTCTCCAGCTCATCCGGCCTTTAGCGTTGCTTCAAGCACATCGCTGGAGAGCTGAAGGCCATGCTGGCCACCCAGTACTTGCAGGTGTGAGGTCTGGAGTCTTTCATCTGACGTTTTTGGCCTCAGCTGCCCTTCCACCTGGCCCTGAACTCTTTGCCCTTTCTGCCGCATTCCTGTCCCACTGACCCGAAAGTGCAGTGTGATTAGGGAGTGCAGTGCCCTCATCAGGGGCCTTGTGGTCTGGGTGTAGTGCCACGCCCTTGATGTCTCGTCCTGACTGTTGCTCTGTGTCCCCCCCTCCCCTCTTAATCGTCTTGTTATTGGGGTGGGTCAGGAGCTATGGATTAACACTGTGTTTGGTGTTAAGCTTCTTGGGAACTATGTCCCCTGTGTGTTATTAGAATGAACTACTTAATAGGTGTTGACAGAGGGGCGGATGAAACTATGACGACTGGGAAGGTAGAGAAAGGTTTTCTTGGATTCCGGTACAACGCTGCCAGCCTGAGAGCAGTGGGGGTGGAAGTCAGCGACTGGGCAGAGGGTCTTGAAGTTAGATAATTTGGATTTGATGTTGTAAAGAGTGAAAATGCGACTTCTCAAGTAAGGTGTGTTTTAATGAGAGAATGTTTTGGCCGCAGCTGTGTGTATGACAGGTGTTGACAGAAGAGAGTCGCAGGTAAGTTGTCCAGGTGGAGGAGAGGGAAGCCTTGGCTTGGGATGGCTGCAGTGCCGTCAGGGGCCAGGGAAGCCCGGGCGGCAAAATGTAACGGTACGGGTGTGCGGATGGTTGCTGATTTTCCCGTATTTCTGTTGGATTGTGGTGTTAGGTGCTGCGCTGTGACTTCAGTATGTCTGTCTAGTGAATAAGGTATTACATGCCCCGTTGGTTTTCACACGGAGGCTTCTAATAATGGCAGTGTGACTTACCTCTGGTACACAAACAGGTGTGAGGTGTGGGGCTCGGTGAACCTGTACGTAAGTATTCACGTTCCTGCAAGCACAAAGTTCCCAATAGAATCGGCACCCCAGTGGCTGCCATGCTGCCCCTCCCCCTCCAGAAAGGCCAGCACTCTTTGGCCCTCCGTGATCACAAATGAGCGTTGCCTGTTGCTGACCTTCCTATAAACGGATTCCCACAACAGAGACTCCCCTAGCTGTCTGTGTCCGTAGATTTCATCTGGAGGCAGTTCTATACGGAGGCAAAAACTTTATCGTTAAGTGGGCGTCCACCTTTTCTTACAGCTTTATTTCCAATTACTGACAATTTTCCTTTGGGATAAAAAAAAATGTTTCATTGTGACTTGGTTATAGTTTTATTTTAATGATGATCCAAACCTATTTGTGAGGATTATTAAAATTTTCATGTCTGAGTAGGGCGACCTCTTATGGCAAATAGGCCTGTGTCCAGTTTCATTTGGAAATACATTTTTCTTCTTCAGTTCATTAGTGAGATCTTGAATTCCTGGTTGCAGATCTTGTTTTTTTTTTTTGTTTTCGTTTTTGTTTTTTTTACATCTTCAAATGATTGAGAGCAGGGAGGCCCAGGCTTTGGAAAGGTGTGGAGTTAGTAATGTCAAAGAAACGAGTATTTACAATGTGGCGAGCATAGTCTACCCTGCATATTTAAAGATTAGCTTTTTGATTTAGGTCCAATAATGTGTCAAGACCTCAAAACCTTGCAAATTTCTTCATGTAATTATACGTGCTGAATCTGGTGCATTGCAGTTGAAAAAATAGAAATAAAGAGTAAGAATTTTTGCCCTAGTTCTAAAAGTTTTCTTATTCTGAAACCTTTTAGGTCCTTTTGGTGTGAACCACGGGGTTGAACTCCATTCAGATGTAATAGAATATGCAAAGCAGAAGCTGGACTTCTTCATTCGAACCAGTGACAGCTTTGACAAGTAAGATCAGATACTAACTAGCCTTGGGTTGGTGTGTGAATTACAATTTAAACTTTTGATTAGTTGAGAGAAACGAGTTTATTAGTGTTCGGATACCAGCAAACATGATTCAACTTTGGCAGGAGAATCAGGGGTATATGTATAGCTGTTCTAATTATTTTTTGTTTAAAAATTTTTTTTTTCTTTTAACGTTTATTCAGTTTTGAGAGACAGAGTGTGAGCAGGGGAGGGGCAGAGAGAGAGGGAGACACAGAATCTGAAGCAGGCTCCAGGCTCTGAGCTGTCAGCACAGAACCTGACGTGGGGTGTGACTCAAACCGTGAGATCATGACCTGAGCCGAAGTCCGGCTCTTAACTGACTGAGCCACTCAGGCACCCTCTGTTGTAATTGTTTTGTAAATATTTTGTGGTTTTGAGGGCTTTAGGTTTCTTTTTTTTTTTTTTTTTAAACTATGATACCAGGGCAAGACTGATTTTTCACCAACATAATAAGAGAAAGGAAATAGAATATTCATTTTGCTCAATTTTCGTGTTTCTGACACAGACAACATGTTTTCATCTAATATAGTTTCTTTTTATTTATTTATTTATTTTTTTTCAACGTTTATTTATTTTGGCACAGAGAGAGACAGAGCATGAACGGGGGAGGGGCAGAGAGAGAGGGAGACACAGAATCGGAAACAGGCTCCAGGCTCTGAGCCATCAGCCCAGAGCCCGACGCAGGGCTCGAACTCACGGACCGCGAGATCGTGACCTGGCTGAAGTCGGACGCTTAACCGACTGCGCCACCCAGGCGCCCCTCATCTAATAGTTTCTAGAACAGAATTGTTGCATTTGTCTTTAAGTAGTATATATAATTACCTCTTGCCATTTTTAAATAAGGCATTAAAGTTCTTATTTTAGAGTTTACCATTTTTAGAAACACCAAATGTATTTTTCTTTCATTTTACTCGTTTTTAGTAGATCCTAAATAAGGTAGTCTATAAAAACGGAACAAAGACTGTGATGAATGGAGGTTGGATGATTTAAGCTTGGATCGTGCTTATGGCATTCACTTCCATAATGTTTTGTTTGGAATTTCTTGGATTCTGTTAATTAAGAGTATAATTCTTTTTGGAAGTCTGTCTTCTCGCTTCTGGCTCTGTGAATTGCATTACCTCACTATAGGGTTGTTCAATGAAAAACTAATCCGTGGTTAACATAGATTTTACTCTGTAGACTTGTAATGTGATCAGCTCAGTTACGGAAAACATTTTTTGCTTCTAGATTTGACTTCTGTGAACCTTCCTTTGTTATTGGCAATTGCCTGGAGATTTCTCCAGATTGTTCTCAGTACGATCGTGTGTACTGTGGGGCTGGTGTGCAGAAAGAGCATGAAGAATACATGAAGAGTCTTCTCAAAGTAGGGGGCATCCTTGTCATGCCGCTGGAGGAGAAGGTCAGATCCCTTTCATAACTGACGTGTTTAACTATGGGCCAAGTTCTGTTCCGGGAAGTTTGCATACATTTTTCCTTGTATCCCTCAACAATTCTGTCCATTTCACAGATGAGGACCCAGGCAGGGACAGGGCATAAAGACAGCCTAGCTGGGGCCAGGGCAGACCCAGGAAGGCACCCTGGAGCCTGCACTGTAAGCCCTGAGCTCACATCCCTCTGTCTCCTCCTGTTTTCCTTCCTCTCTCCCACCTCCCTTCCCTCCTCCACAGTTATTCTAGTGTGCTTATTCTGTTGTTAGGCTCACACATAAAAATTACTTCCGTAATTCTGATTGTAGTCTGATTGTTTGGTTCTGTGACAGTGAGCATTCTACAGGAGTCTCTTCCTTAGTATGAACCTTGTCTAAGTCTGCTATTTGGTCATGTTTCTGTGTGCTGTGGATATTGTGCTGCACTGAGGCAAACAAATTGTAAGAAATGAGCAAGATTAATCAAACTTGAGTTGGTCCTAAGGAAGAATGTCTCCATCACAAAGAAGTAGGAAAAATGGAAATAATAAAAATGGGAGATCGTGCATTTTTGTGTGATTTTCTGCAATTTTAAAATGTTAGCATTTATTTTGTTTAAAAAGTAATCATTCATTGTAGAAAATCCAGAAGATATGATAATTAAGAAAAACTGCTTACAATCCCACCCCAAGTGCTGTTAGTGTAGGATTCAGTAATTCCTGAAATTACGATCAAGTAATTCTTAGTGTTTTCAGATGGTCAGCTGGTGTTCAGATTTTCCTGATTATCTCAGAATTTATTTGAATAGGGTTTCATTTGATTATATCTTTTTTTTAATTTTGCCAGTTTTATTAAGGTACGGTTCACATAGAATAAAACTGAACAATTTTAACTGTATAATCCATTGAATTTTGACAAGTGACGACAGAGGTAGCATACGACGCAAACAACATATAGAACATTTTCTGTTGCTCCCCCAAATTCCCTCTTGCCCTCCTTTTTTTTGAGATGTAATTCACGTATTAGTTTCACGTGTGCAGCGTCATAATTCAACAAGACAATTGTGTTTTCATACTGTGCATTTGTAAGACCTATTTGAATGTGCTCCAGATCCGTTCATCAGCTTTGGGCCACGTACAGAGCGTTGTGTTCTCCAGCAGAGCAGTTCAAACAGCACAGTTCCCAGACCTGTGGTATCAGTAACTCTTCTGGAGGCAAAAGTCAACTTACAGTGCTGATGGAATTTGTGAGAAACATTTGGTTTGTGTCTTGCGTTTGGTTGGTATCTTGCTCTCTCCTTTTTAAAGATTTTAGTTTTAAGTAATCTCTGCACCCGGCGTGGGGCCTGAACTCACAACCCAGAATGAACGTGAGATCAAGAGTCGCATGCTTCACCGGCTGAGCCAGCCAGGCACCCCTGGTTGATATATGTCTAAAGTGTTTCTTTTTTTAAAAAGATTTTTTTTTCAACGTTTATTTATTTTTGGGACAGAGAGAGACAGAGCATGAACAGGGGAGGGGCAGAGAGAGAGAAGGAGACACAGAATCGGAAACAGGCTCCAGGCTCTGAGCCATCAGCCCAGAGCCCGACGCGGGGCTCGAACTCACGGACCGCGAGATCGTGACCTGGCTGAAGTCGGACGCTTAACCGACTGCGCCACCCAGGCACCCCTAAAGTGTTTCTTATCTATAACTTTTTTTTTTTTTTAACTTTATCCTTGCATTTGTCTTATAGAGTTTCCTACAGCCTGGATTTGGAGATTACATATCTCTGTGGTGGTATCTTACATATTTCTTCTGTTCTCTGTTTTCGCTGTGAATTGCTAATTGGATCCAAAGACTTGCTTAGTTTGCAGTTTGACTCAACTTTTGGTGGGGAGGGAGGGTGCGAGAATACTTACCAGGTATTACAGTGTATGTCCATATACACTCACATCATACCCGATGCCAGCAGTGCAAATGTGGTCCTGATCCACTGTTTCATTAAGGGATACAGGGTGGTAAATTCTGCTTCCATCATTTCTCATCATTTAGTACCTCGAATACTTTTTTCTTTCTTTTTTTTTTTAATTTTTTTTAATGTTTGTTTATTTTTGAGATAGAGCGTGAACGGGGGAGGGGCAGAGAGAGGGAGACACAGAATCCGAACAGGCTCCAGGCTCCGAGCTCTCAGCACAGAGCCCAACGTGGGACTCAAACTCACGAGCTGTGAGATCATGACCCGAGCCGAAGTCGGACACTCGACCGACTGAGCCACCCAGGCGCCCCGCTTTTTTCTTTTTAATTTTCATTCTAATATAGTTAACGTAACAGTGTTACATTAGTTTCAGGTGTATGATACAGTGATTCAGTGGTTCCATACGTCACCCAGTGCTCCCTGAGATAAGTGTACTCTTCATCCTTTTCACCGGTTTCCCCCGTCCCCCACCCACTTCCCCTCTGGAGACCATGAGTTTGTTCTCGAAGAGCCTGTTTTATATCCTCCCCACCCCCTTCCTTGTTCATTTGTTTCGTTTCTTAAATTCCAGATGTGTTGGGGCGCCTGGGTGGCGCAGTCGGTTAAGCGTCCGACTTCAGCCAGGTCACGATCTCGCGGTCCGTGAGTTCGAGCCCCGCGTCGGGCTCTGGGCTGATGGCTCAGAGCCTGGAGCCTGTTTCCGATTCTGTGTCTCCCTCTCTCTCTGCCCCTCCCCCGTTCATGCTCTCTCTCTGTCCCAAAAATAAATAAACGTTGAAAAAAAAATTAAAAAAAAAAATTCCAGATGTGAGCGAAATCATGGTATTTGTCTTTCTCTGACTTGGCCAGATTTCATTCTTCTTCACGGTTGAGTAATGTCATTTGCAAATACTATCTTCTCCCATTCAGTAGGTTGTCTTTTAGTTTTGTTGGTTGTTTCCTTGGGTGTGCAGAAGCTCTTTTTTCGATGTAGGGCCAACAGTTTATTTTTGCTTTTGTTTCCCTTATCTCAGGAGATGTATCTAGAAAGAAGTCGCTGTGGCCGACGTCAGAGACGTTACCATTTGTGCTCTCTTCTAGGATTTTTATGGTTTCAGGTCTCATGTTTAACTCCTTAATCCATTTTGTGTCTTTGTGTCACCTTCAGTTACTTTCATCAGTGTTTTATAGTTTTCAGAGTACAAGCCTTTCACTACCTTGGTTAAGTTTATTCCTAGATATTTCATTATTTTTGGTGCAATTATAAATGGGATCATTTTCTTAATTTCTCTTTCTGCTTCATTGTTACTAGTTTTTAGAAATGCAGCGAATTTCTGTACATTGATTTTGTATCCTGCAACTTCATAGTACCTGGAATACTTAAGGAGAAAACACCCTCATCATTTATTCGGTTACCCTAGGCACACTGTAGAAGGAGAGGCTGGATACATTCTGATTCTTAACTTTTGTTTACTAGTTTCCTCAATAATCTGGTTCTCCAGCATCTGCTGAAGGTGGTGACTAATAAGATTTTATTTGATTTTTAGTGTCGGTGTAAATTAATGGATATAAACGTACTTAATATCTTAATCATGACGCCATTCTTAATGAAGCTTAACATGTGCTGTCTTGGCCCGTGGGGACCTCTCCAGCTTGGCTCTTGGGCTTGGATACAATTTCAGTAGTCTGTGATAGTTTTGTTACTTTCTGGTAAGAAAAGATGTTCCACACCCACTTTGTATACACATGTATATTTTTTACAACAAAGTTGGAGCCAGCCGTTTCTGAGGATCTCTGTTAATTTGAAGTTCAGTGGGAATTGGTGTTTAGAGAACACAGGTGGGGCCTTTGTGGGAATCTTTGATGCTGGGTGAGTTTTCCAGTGGAACTCTGGAGCTAGGAAGTTCACACACACACATGCAATCTTATGTTTTTTGTTGGTTTGCTTTTTTTGGACATAAAACACACCATGGATTTATATTGGTACTTCCATCTTGAAGTCAGGACGAGAGGGTTTTTCTCACTTCTTCGGTCTGCCATGCTTGAAAGTCCCAGTCCTCGACTACGCAGCTCCTTGTTTATCCACAGCATCGGCAGCAAGAATTTGATTTCTGAAACTGGGTCAAGATGTGGGCGGGGGCTTGGGGGGTGGGGAGCTTCTTTGGCCCTTATATTACACTAGGGATGTAGAAATTAACATGTTTTAAAGTCACTGGAAATAATGCTTTCCTGTGAGGTTGTATAACCTCAGTCACAGTCATCAGCCTGACTCGCAGCTCATTTGTTTTCAATGTTTAGGGATTGCCGTTTTAGGTTTTGTAACTTGGTAAAACATTTATAAGATTCCAAAGTTTAAGTAATGAATACTCACAGAATTTTTTCCCCCTCTGTGTTCCCTCTACTTCACCTGTAGGTAACCATTGTGTTTGTTTTTAGTTTATGTGTTTATGCAAAAACTATATAAGCAAACACAATTTTTCATACGTGAAGATATGCACACTTTTTTTCCATCCCATGCACCTATCCAGACATATGAAACGGGAATTGATAGTTTGTAAGTTTTATACATCATTTGTTGTTCATTTTAGGTATTTGGTGTTCAATATAAGTAGAAATTCTTTTTTGTCCTTATTTTGTGTATTTAAAAACGTTTCTTGGTGGTGTATGAGAATGCGATTTTTTGATGGCCAGTTCGGTTCTTTCTAGCTTCTTGCTGTTTCCAAGCAGTGCCGCTGTGACGAGGCTGTGCATATCCACGTTTGTGGATGTTCTTAGTCTTTGTCCATACCCATGACCTCTTCCGGGTGCTTGATTGGAGACTCTGTGTTTTGACTTTGGCCAGCTGCCTTTCCAGCAGCTTCGCTGTCAGCAGCAGAGGAGAGGAGCCATCCGTGCCCTTGCTAACAGTCCCACCTGCTGTTGCTGTCATTGCTAGTGGATTGTTGTATGTGGCAGGGCTGGATGTCCCCATTTTGGTCTTCTTTCTCAGAGTATTGTTTTAAGTACATCTTTACTTAAATTATTTTAGCAATCTTTGTTGCATCACAGAAATACTGCAGACCTTTTGTTGGAATTGTGTGACATGTTGAATAATTTGAGGATTATGGACATGTTTTCAGTATCTGTCTCCTCGTCTGGAATGTAGAATATGGATTTACAGTTTTCCTGAAGGGTTCACACATTATTGACGGATTATATTTAAATGTTTGGTGTTTAGCATAACTGGAATTTCTCCTTGAAAAAAAGTTTTTGAAGAAGAAGTTTATGCTGGGGTACAGGAATGTGAGCGACCTGTTTACCCAGTACATGGCCACTTAATGCTTTCAGTTCCCAGATTCATGACATAGAATCTTAGTTTTCAGAAGCTTTGCTGGCTTAGATATTTTTAGACAAGAGAGCATATAATCTCAGCATGCCAAAGCTGGGCAAAAATAGTACTGTCACCTGTTTGGGTCGTTAGACACTGGTTACACAGAACACACAGGAGGGCCACGTGGTCTAATTAGGCTCTTCCTGTGCTTCTAATACTGCGATTCACTGCAAATCTGTGTGTTTTGGTGGTGATGTCACATCGAAATTCACATAAACACCGTAGTGAGGAGAAGCTCCAACATACCCAAGATGGCATCGTCACCTTCAAGGAAGTCATGGCAAAACTGTAACAGTAGCTGTTGTTTTGTGTGTGGTCATGTTGCAAGAAAGTCTTTTTATTGTTTCTGTTCTGGAAACAACAGCCTGGTATCCAGTCTAAACTGAAGCATTATAGGTGGTCATGAGTGTCTGTAATGACTTTGACTTTAGGATGTTCCCCACCCCCCCCCCCCCGCCCTACTTTTGCCCCCAACAGGGACTCTTGCAGACAGCCCTGGGAAGTCATCTCATCTGATTGTCTCTTCTTGTTATCCTTTGACTTCTTTTCTCTAACGTGTGTATTTCTTGTAAACAGAAATTCGGTCTAGAAGCTTTGAACATATTCAGGCGAAACATATTTGCAAAGATTTTAATAAGTACTGTGTACTTCCTGCCACATCACATTAGGGGCCCCTGATGTCAGGTTCTTTCATTGTTAGAGTATCTGTGTTTTTTTAGTTCACGTGTAGGAATGGTTAAATATAAACTAACAGTAGCCAAATCTTTTGAATATTCTCATTTTCTCTTTGGGATAGTTGACTAAGATAACACGAACTGGTCCTTCTGCTTGGGAAACCAAAAAGATTCTGGCTGTTTCTTTTGCTCCTCTGATCCAGCCCTGTCATTCAGAGACAGGAAAATCAAGACTTGTCCAGTTACGTAAGTACAAAGATCTTCACTTACCTTTCAGATCTTTTAAAAAATCTCGTTAGAATTTGAAGAGAAAGAAACATTTTAAGGAGCCTTTTAATATTAAAGAGGATTCTGAAGCCTTACAGTTTTACAAATGGTTTTTTACGTATTGTAAAAATCATGATCTGTTTTTAGCCTATTTTAGGTTATTTTGGCCTTGTTTTAAATCCACAGGAGTTATTTCTGGTCATGCCATTGGAAGCAGAAGACTCCCACAAAAGGGAGTTAATTCTGCTACGTGGAAAGTTCTTCCAGAGAGAGTGTGTTCCCAGTGCCGTCGAGCCAGAGGGCTCTTGCTGAGTCATGGGACCTTGTCCTCCTTGGGGCCACCTCATGGGCACACGTCTCAGCCGGCTGGCTGGTGTGTGGTGGGAGGCTTGCTGAGGAGCATTGACTTGGCTAGGCCTGTGCCTGCGACTCCTTCAGGATGTAGACCCAGAAGGAGCAAACATCAGGGCTGGCATTCATCCAAATACTGTTTTCTAGTTTAAACAAATTTACATAGCAGTGAGAATTGCAAGTGACTTTATTTAAAATAAAACTATTCAGCATGGTTTCTGCGTTCTGATCATTTAGAAGATTCGGAAAATGTACAAAAAGGAAAAATAGTAACCATGATCTTACCACCCAAAGGTAATACATGTGTTGGCAAATTCCTTGCAGGATTTTATTTTTTACTTGTGAGGAATCGTTTATCAAATAGTAATGCTCCGCCTTTGTCTCTGCTAAGTGGAGGTCACATGCCATAGATGTGGTCCTTGAAATGTAACAAACAACAGTAGAATATAGACAGTGCCTCAGAGGGGCCAGGCAGAGGATGGGACCTTTCTTTGTGCTTGGTCTTTCTGGGTGAAAATGAATTCTCTGAAGAGAGAAGAAAGGGAGAAAAAGCATGAGCAGAGGCTGATGTGGACTTTCCACATGCCCGCTCCCCGGTGTGGTCTGAGTGAGGGTGTATAGGAGATGCCAGCCCAGTACATAGGTTAGACATGAGTTTAGCATGTAGGCTGTGGAGATCCACCAGATAGTACAACTAAAAGATGTGGGGCATCTGCCTTCTTGATTACCCTTGTGGCCGGCTGCAGGGTGATTTTGTCACATGCAGGCTCTCTGAAAATCCCACCAGGATAAGCTAACATTGCTCGCAGTTGGCCGGAGCACTCCCTTCCAGAATGCTACCTGACTAGCACCAGAGGTGAGGGCATAGTTGGAGTATCTATGGGACGCGGGGGGTGGGGGGCAGGGGCGGGGTGTTGAAGACAAGTCTCTTGGTGTGAGGGCTTGATCCGATCTGGGTAAGAGTTGTGGTGACACGGGGGCGCCTGGGTGGCTCAGTCGGTTAAGTGTTCGACTTTGGCGCAAGTCATGATCTCACGGTTCGTGAGTTCGAGCCCCGCGTCGGGCAGCTCGGAGCCTGGAGCCTGCTTGGGATTCTGTGTCTCTCTCTGCCCCTCCCCTGCTCATATTCTGTCTGTCTCTCTCTCACAAAATAAGTAAACACTAAAAAAATTCAAACAAAGTTGTGACAACATGGAGGGCACCCTGAGATGCCAGCTTTGAGGCTAGCGCTTTAGAGCAAATGCTGGATGACGGATAAGCATGTGATGTTTAGGGTTCCTGAAGCGAACAATCCAGTTGTTTGTAACTGCTTCTTGCTGGGTTGGAGTTTTCTGGACTCCTAAAGTTGTGTCGATGGAGACAGTGGCCTCTGGAGTGGAAGGGACTCGGGCAGGCACACAGGGCCTTTCTGAGGAAGGATGTGGAGCCTGAGGTGTCCGGCATCTGTTGGAGATATGGGTCTGTGGGAGGCTTGGGACCCCATTCAGGACTGGAGCAGAGCCCTAGGAGCCGTTGCCCAGTCTTTGTTACTCGAAGCCACAGAATGGATGCCGAAACAGAGATCGATAGGCACACAGAGAGGGGGAAGTGGTGGGAATCAGCACGTGAGGGAACACCACTGGCCTGGGTGGAGGAGGGAGCTCACAGGAGAGGCTTGGGCCTAGTTAGTTCCCTGCAAGTGGGCGCCTCGGGGGGAGCCAGGGAAGCCAGAATGTGAGTCCTGGAGGTCTGGTGACCTGTGAAGGAGTCCATTCAGCAGGCTGAGTGGCAACAGCCCGTGAAGAGGGAAGGGAAGGGGAGGGAAGGGGAGGGAAGGGGAGGGAAGGGGAGGGAAGACGTGCTGAACGGAAAGTCGTGATTTCGGTGTTGCGGAGTGGGGCAAGTGCTGGAGCCTGTCCCGGACGAGAGAGGGGACACTTGAGCAGGAGAGGAAGCCTGGTGTGGACAAAGGGGAGAAGGTGCTGAGAGCCTCCAGCAAGAGCACTTTCTAGGGCTCCTGTGGAACAGTGAGCCTCGCACGGGATTGTGTGCAGGCCTCTCTGATTTGGGTGATAAATGTTACAGACAATCTAAGAGCCCCCCTAGATTGTAGGTGGCCATCTCTTTTGGCAGAAGCTAGGTAGTGGAGGGAAAAAAGTGGCGCTGCCTTTCAGTATGATGTACTTAAACACACAGCCCCTCATTCCTCTCCCTTTGAGAAAAAAGCTCTTCTGTTGCCATGTGCGTACTGCCTGCGTTAAATTGAGCATTAAGTTGAGCCTGCGTTAATCACCAGATTCTGTTTTTCCTCAGTATGCTTTGGAGTTTTTGTACTTACTAAAAACGTTTGGATTTGCTGTTCTCTGCTTAAATCAAAAAAGAGGAACTAATACTCAATTTGTAAAGTACTGTGAAAATATTAAGATAGACAAAAGAATTCTGGAGCCCTACATCCTCTGTGTTTCCACTGGATGAGCTAGAACCCACGAATGAATACGTAAATAGAATAATGAACCTGGCTGTCCAAGAAGGAAAACACCATAGCCCAGGGTTTTCCCTTGCTTCTGACTGAATAGCCAAACAATCTCGATCTTGCTTATGTAAGTTCAGGGTCGATGTATTTGAAAATATCTTTCGAGAAGGACCACATGCATGCGCACTAGAGCACTAAGTAAGTGACTTTGCCAGGAACGCTCTCTCGTGCCTGTTCTGTGAATACGCCAGTGAATGACAGTGACGTGAAGACTTCCCTGGGTTAGGGCTCTGTGCTGTCCAGGTCACTCTCAGACAAGGTTGACACGTCTCCTCCTTTGCTCCGCAGCGCCGCTGGCCGTGCGAAGCCTCCAGGACCTGGCTCGCATCGCCATCCGGGGCACCATTAAAAAGGTCATTCGTCAGGAAACGGTGAGCAGCAGCGGAAACGGACTAAAGAGCACTCCGGGGGTGAAACGGAGGAGAGTGCGCCGCCGTCGAATGGAAACGATCGTCTTTTTGGACAAAGAGGTTTTTGCCAGTCGGATTTCCAGCCCCTCTGACGACAACAGCTGCGAGGACTTGGAAGAGGAGTCGCGGGAGGAGGACAGAGCCCCCCCGCCCGAAGCCAAGCCAGCCCCACCGGTGAACTTCCTACGGGAGAAGGTCCTGAGCCTCCCTCTGCCAGACCCCCTGAAATACTACTTGCTCTATTACAGGGAGAAGTGAGTCTGTGGGAACAGGGCACCGAGGCAGAGCTGATGCTGTGCCTGCTGTCGCCGAGGGGTCTCCCGGGCACGTGCCGTGGGGAAGGAAAGTGCTCTCCTCTCGACCTTCCTGTCTTTAGTTCGTTCTTGGTTTTCCTGTAGAATCCCCATTCAGTGGTATCATTTCAGTAAACATAATCTGATAAACATAAAGTGCATAGGAGAAGGTTTTCTCAGAAGGGAGAGCATCTCTTGAGAAGGGTGTTTGCTTTTTGTGCTGATGAAACTGACGTCTGCCTGCAGAGACCGCTTTGGTGACCGTCTCCCACTCAAGATAACCTACGAAGACTGAAGTTGAAAGGAACCTGTGTTGCTTAGAAAAAGTGAAAGTGCAAGTTTGCAAGTGTGTAAAATCTTTTCTGGGTGTGACACACCTGTGTCCAAGTTAGCACTTTATGGTGTCAGCCTCGTAATTACTGGCGCTGAGCTCCCCTAACCCTTTTAGTTCTCTGGATGGGGGAGCGTTATTGAAAAGCTCTCCCTTATTTTAAATAAATGTAATTAGATTGTATGTGGGTTGTCCACTGTAATTTTAAAAGAGAGAAATTTGTGATGGGGGAGGAGGAATAAAAGTATCAAACTGCCAGATGTCTTTCTGGGATTCCAAAATAATTCAAGGAATATCTTCCTGACGCCTTTTCTTACCTTTAGAAGAACCAGTGTCAGATAATCCCTTAAAGAAAATACTCAAGAATGAAGCGAGCGTTGTGCGCAGTGAGCTGCCTTACTTTTACTCCAACGGTGGGGATGACTGTTGATGCAACCTTGAGTGTGTTAATGGGTGTCTAGGGCATGGATGTGCTCGGTCCTCAAAACAGGTGGGAAGTGTTAAGACTGCAGGAAATACATTGGAGACAGTGTCAACAACCTGTGCTGTTTTTTCTTTTTTCCTTCAGTTGGCTACTTTTCTGTAATCACATTAAAGTAATGATTAATAGATTTTATCTTTTATAATTCTGGAGAAGAAGATGTGTTAGTTTTCTAATTTTTCTTAATAACAAATGTATGTATTTTAGTAGCTCCATTGCATTAGAATAACAGTCTAACCCCCAGGGACTTGTGGATTCTATCTTCTCTAGGCCCTTTGTGTTGACAGGTTTCTGTGTTTACCAAGTTCCAAAACATTGGTTCTTTTCAAACTTGCTTTTTGTGCCCAAAGAAGAAAACAGTGGTATCAAATGTTAACAGTAGACCCAAACTCAGAGTGCTGCTGTGGGATCAATCATCCAGATTTTATGACTGATTTTATCCGGTGTTGCTGAGCTTGAGTGTGTCTTTGTGGTTTCACCAGCTGAACCGAGTTCTGCTTATTTATTTATTTATTTATTTATTCTTAAACTTCTCTTCTTTTTTAAGTAATTTAATCATTTTCTACAGGATACTATGTGCATGCAGAGCTGGGAAAATATGTCTGTTGCCCTAGATCTGGAAATGTAATTTTTTATAAAGACAGTACTTCACAGTTGTTCTCAACCTGGCTTCTAACGGAAGGCTGGGCGTCACTGTCTCAGAAGCGCCCAGTTTACGTTTACGTGAGGACTTGAGATCACTTAGTGGTGCGCACGTCTGTGCCGACGTCACGCTGACCGTAGTGTACTGATCTCTGCGATCCACGGACATTCGGAGCGTAAGGTCAAATACATATTTGTGAAATCTGTCACACTGGGTGGCTTGACTAAGTTCTTTTCCTATAATTGTACACGGGTTTTATTTATTTTTTAAATCACATTTGCCTTCACGCTAGACTGTAAAGCCTCTTCACCGTGCATAAGACGTGTTTTTCCCTACATAGTTTAGACCTTTGCTAACATTTGTGTTCGTATTTACATGTTGTCTGTTTGCGATACTTAAACCAGAATTTGGTTACAAAAATATATATAGATGTAATATATGTGAAATAGTTTGGTGTTTATCTTATACACGTAGAGAAGAATTGTAAATGGGTTTTCTCGGGCCGAAGTGCCCCTCCCCAGGGTCCAGGATGATGCACTGCTGTCTGTTCCCCGACAGATGGATTATGTATAGTCTGTGTGGCCTGTAACCTCTGTATTGTAAACCACTTTCTAGACAGCTGTGGACTTTTATGTTCTGAGGAGTATGTATTTCTGTGTGTGATTTGTGTCTTGAAAGTAGTAAAGCCACAGACACGTACACAGCAAATGTCAAATTTATAAATATCAAGGATGCAGTGTAAAAATCAACTGTGTATGTAAGAATGCTTTTGCCAGTCTGGACCTTTCAGGGAATTAATGCCAGAAGTTTGAAACCAAGATTTTAATGAGTAGATACACATTGGGTAAATACAAAGGCTATCAATAAACCTCGTTCAGGCACTTCAGCCTTCTTGGCATGGCTTGTGTTTCCTGTGTGGGATTGAAATTCTTGACTACATGTTTTCCAAAAATCTTTAAAAATAAACCTTTTCTTTATTAGAATCATGTGTTTTCTTTCACTGTTGTGTTATGGCTTCATTCTGTACCATGGTAGTACACTTGGGGAAGACGTGATTTTATTTTATTTTATTTTTTTAATTTTTTTTCAACGTTTTTTATTTATTTTTGGGACAGAGAGAGACAGAGCATGAATGGGGGAGGGGCAGAGAGAGAGGGAGACACAGAATCGGAAACCGGCTCCAGGCCCTGAGCCATCAGCCCAGAGCCTGATGCGGGGCTCGAACTCACGGACCGCGAGATCGTGACCTGGCTGAAGTCGGAGGCTCAACCGACTGCGCCACCCAGGCGCCCCGGGGAAGACATGATTTTAAATGAAGCACACTTAGGGGCGCCTGCGTGGCTCAGTCGGTTGGGTGTCCGACTTTGGCTCAGTTCATGATCTCATGGTCTGTCAGTTCGAGCCCCGCATCGGGCTTTATGCTGATGGCTCAGCCTGGAGCCTGCTTCGCATTCTGTCTCCCTCTGTCTCTGCCCCTCTCCAGCGCTCGCTCTCTCTCTCTCTCTCTCTCTCTCTCTCTCAAAAATAAAATAATAAAAAAAAGCACACCTAGTTTGGATGGCGAAAACAGAAAAGTGACAGCTACGACTCCATGAGAGAGTATGTGTCTGAAGCATGTTTGTGGTTAGTTTCTTGGCACAGTTTTCCTATTTTGTGAAAATGTTAAAAGATAATTGGGTTAATGGTCACATATCTTCCATGGCAGCAAGGGGTGAGGGTTAGGGTGATGGTGAGAATTTCGGGTTTAGAGTTAAGGTTTGGGGTTGGGGTGCCAGGGCCATGCGCTAGAGTTGGGGCCTAGTGTCAGGATCTAGGGTCAGGGTGAGGGCCAGAGATCAGAAGTAAGGGCCCAGCGTTCAGGGACAAGGTTAGGGGTTAGTATTCAGGATCAGACTGGCTGCTGACCGTTGTAGTCCATCTGGACTGCTAAAACGGAACCGTATTTTGGTATTTTTGGTGGCTTATAACCCGTAGAAATCAATGCCTTACAGTGGTTGAGGCTGGAAGTCTGAGATGAGGGTACCAGCATGGTCAGGTGAGGGTCCTGTTTGTAGTGGCACACTTCTCCTCTTTTGACATGTAGGGGATGGGTTAGGGTCTCTTATAGGGGGAGTAATCCCATTCATGAGGACCCCACCCTCATCACCTAATCACCTCCCAAGGGCATCCTGTTCTAACATCATCACATCAGGCATTAGGATTCCAACAGATGAATTTGGGGGAAAACAAACATTCAGATCATAGCACTGATGTAAGAGATAGATGGAATTTTTTTTCTTATAATTGACCTTTACTTAAAAAAAAAAAAACAAAAGAACCCTACCTCTTTTCCCAGTCAAGGTACCAGGATGATGGGCTCTATCTCAGTTGGAATTTCCAAATCGTGGCACTGAATTTCAGAGATTAACTGGATGTGCCACGAGGGGCTAAACTGTGAGTCGGGTGTTCCCTGTGCCACAGCCCAGCGGACAGCAGGGGGCACCCTAACCTGGCTCTCTGACCTGAAGGAGATCATAACGTATCCTGGCCTCAGAGAGTCAGACCCACATCTCGATGGGGATGATGGGCTGCAGGATGCTCCTGCAGCTTTGGGACAATTTGGGGCAGTGAGGACAAGGCTAGGAGATGGTTTCTGTTGGCATCTCCAATGAACTTTAAGAAAAAAATGTTTAATGTCTGTTTATTTTTGAGAGATTGACAGAGTGTGAGCAGGGGAGGGACAGAGAGAGTGGGAAACACAGAATATGAAGCAGGCTCCAGGCTCTGAGCTGTCAGCACAGAGGCTGATGGGAGACTCGAACTCACAAACTGCTAGGTAATGACCTGAGCCGAAGTCGGACACTCAAGGAACTGAGCCACCCAGGTGCCCCAGTTAAAAAAAATTTTTTAACGTTTATTTATTTTTGAAAGAGACAGGGATAGAGTGTGAGCCGGGGAGAGGCAGAGAGAGAGGGAGCCACAGGATCTAAAGCAGGCTCCAGGCTCTGAGCTGTCAGCACAGAGCCCGACGCAGGGCTTGAACCCACAAGCTGTGAGATCGTGACCTGAGCTGAAGTCGGAGGCTTAACCGACTGAGCCACCCAGGGGTCCCTATGTTGATAGTTTTTATGTATCATGGGGAAGAATTTTATAGAGTCCACTGTTTATGTGCTTTCAGTACACATTTCATTCATTTCCAAAGCTGCTTAGGTTAGCACTTTCTGCCCCGGCACCTACAGTGAGTTTCTTCATACATTTCTAGTACAGTTAGATTATGTATCACATTCTGTATTATATCTTGTGACAATCCCACATCCTAAATAATTCAGTTGGAATAATCATGATGTAGTCTTTGGGCTGGAAACATCTATGAGTTTTGCCAAATGCATAGTGGCACATACCTATCACTAAAATATACGGAATACCTTGAACTCTAACTGCATGATCTGTTTATCATCTCTGTAGTTTTGACGTTTCCAGAACGTCCTATAAACGGGGCCATACAGTACGTAGCCTCTTCAAGCTGGACTCTTTTACTTCGCAAAATGTGTGTAAGATTCATCCATCTCTTTGTAAGGGGTGATGGATCATTCGTTTCTACTGCTGAGTAGTAGTGCATTGGATGTATAGGTGACTAAAAACAATTTTTCTTTACTTTTCTAGGTTCGTGGCTAAGACTACTTCTTGTGATAAAAGATTAACAGGAGAAAAACAGAAGTGTAATTGTGTGTATACATCCTGTATACGTGGGACATACTCAGGAAAACTGATTAACTTCCCCAAATGGCTGAAGTAATCACTTGGAATGTTTCAGTAGTCGGAAGGCCAATTAAGGGAGGCTATCAGACCAAGCAAGAGTATATGAGGGGTAAGGTTGTTAATCAGGTTTAAGTCCAGAGACTTTGTTACAAATGGAGGGTTCCTTTGTAAATGTAAATTTTTCTCACTAAAGGACAACTTTTATTCGGTTTTCAGAGATTCTCCTCTGTCTTCTGTCTGTTAAAATCAATTAGCCCCAAATAATACTTGTGCCCAAGAGACTTATCTTGGGCATGGTGGCATATTCTGCTTCCTTCACATGGATGCACCTGTTTGCTTATGGATTCATGTTTTGAAGGACATCCTGATTTCTTGAAGACTTTTGCCATTACGAATAGAGCTGCTGTGCATAGCTGCATGTGAGTTTTTGTTTGGAAATAGTTTTTCAAAGCAGTTGTGTGAGTACCTGAAGTGTGATGATGGTTGATTCTTAAGGCAAGACTTGTTTAACTTTGGGGAAAAATGCCAAACTATTTTCTGTTAAACTTAAAAATGAAATCGCCAATTATTTTACCAGCAAAAATGGGTTTATTTGGGAATAGTTGAGAATTTCAATCCAAGACAAGCAAGCTTAGGCAAAACCATAAGCAAGCACACGGAACAAAGCAGAGGAGCATTAGTCTTCTATAGAGGAAACCGAGGAAGTTGGGAGGTACTGTCCTAAACAGAAAGTTCACTGGAGTAAACTGGGGGCTTGATGTGTAGTGGCTTCTCATTGGCTGACCTGTGACAGTCTGTCATTGGCTGAGCTGTTGTCTGGGGAGGAGGAAACCTTTCTTCCTCCTGCTAGGATAGTAAAAGGGTCCTGTTGGGTCTGCAATTGATGTAGAGTGGTAGGTGTGAGAGTCTCTCCTGCCAAGCCTTCCTAGACTTCATTTTAGTGAGGTTTCCTGTTACTAGTTTTCACTTCCAAAGTGGCTGCACATGCATTCCCCAAATGAAGGAGGGTTCTTCTCATTCTGCACTAACAATTGGCATTGTCAAAATTTTTTTGGAGTTTAGCAGTTTTAATAGGTGTGTAGCAATTTGGAATTTCCTAATGATACATGGATGTAGAGCATACTTTTGTATGCTTATTTACTATCCGTCTATTTTCTTTGGCCAGGTGTCTCTTCAGATCCTTACCCATTTTCATTTAGGTTGTGTGTTTTCTGATTGTTGACTTCTGAGAGTTTTCTGAAAGTTCTTAATGTATTTTGAATACAAATCTGTTATCAGATGTGTGTTTTGCAAATATTTCTTGCAGTTTGTAGGCTTGCCTTTTGGGTCTCTGAACAAGGTCTTTCATGGAGTAAAAGTTTTCATTTTATAAAGTTCACATTACCAGTTTTTTTCTTTTGTGGATTGGTTTTGGTGTCTTAAAACCCCAAGGTCATGTAGGTTTTGTTTTATGTTTTCTTTTTGATATTTTGATAGCTTTGCATTTCTAAAAAAATATTTCTGAGAGAGCGCAAGCGGGGGAGGGGCAGAGAGAGAGAGAGGGACAGAAGATCTGAAGCAGGGTCTGTGCTGACAGGCTACAGCAGCGAGCCACATGTGAGTCTGGAAGTCACGAACTGCCAGATCATGACCTGAGCCAAAGCTGGACACTCAAATGACTGAGCGACCTGCCTTGACAGTTTTGCACTTTAAATGGATCTGCAATTTTGAGTGAAATCTGGTGTAAGTTGCGAAGTTTGTGTTTATATTTCATTTCACCTTGTCTTGTTTCGTTTCGTTTCATTTCATTTCATTTCATTTCATTTCATTTCATTTCATTTCATTTCATTTCATTTCATTTCATTTCATTTCATTTCATTTCATTTCACCTCGTTTCGTTTCATTGAGTTTTGTTTCCAATTAGTTGTTCTTTAAGTATTCTTGGAGAAGTTGGGGGATATTGGGCTCCGTTTCAGTTTGAGTTTCCAAAAGTTAACGGATTCACCTAGACTAGAGGTAGCCCAGTGAATCCTGCACTGCCTTCACTGCCTGCAGGGGGCGCCAGAGCTCAGCTCCCTGACCTGAGTGGCGCATGCGCCGCCAGCCGGCCACCTTTCCACCTGCACAGACTGGTGTTCCTCCTCCTCAGGACCCGTTGCGGGGTGGGTGGGCGGGTTTCGGAAGGGGAGAATGTGGGGACTTGTCCATGCTGACAGAAGCTGGGTTTCCTGAGGACCTGCTCTAGGGGATACGGGGTGTGGAAATGTCACGGTGCAATTCTGGGTTTGTTGCTGAATAATTCTGTACTGGACATGAGCCCCTAGGTCATTTATTCTTCAGACCTAAGCAGTGGGCCCTCTTCAAGCTAGAGCCATGGCTAGGATCAGGGATCAATTGAGCAGGGTGGCAGTGGCCAAAATGCCGGCCAGTGCAGTGATCTGCCCAGACGGTTGAGTGGAGTTCAGTTGTTAGGGTGTGCATCAGGCTTAGGGGTTGCATTTAGGAGCCAGATGATGGGGTGGACCAGGGTTAGGTTTGGGCTCAGGATCCCCTCCTGCACCTCCATCCCAGCCTTGGAGATATAGCAAAATTCTGGGTTCCTCTCTGAAATATTCTCTGCTGGTCATGGTCCCTAAATCTGTTCTTTCCTCAGACCTAGGAGGTGGAACCCCTTTAGGGCCAAGCCATGGCTAGGGTTAGGGTGAGGTCCTGGGAGGTGGCAGGGGCAGAACCGACACCAGTTCAGTGGTCTCCATGGAGGGCTAAGTTGAGGGCGTGAGTTAGGGTGTTGGACAGGCTTAGGGTTTGTGATCTGGGAATGGCTGATGGTATGTGTATTCCAGGTTCAGGTTTTGGCACAGAATCCCCTAGTGCAGCTCCATTCTGACCCTGGAATTGTCATGGTGAATGCCTGGATTCCTCTTGGATAATAGGCCCCAAATTCATTCTTTTCTGTGACCTAGGAGGTGGGCCCCTTTAAGTCCAGAGCCATGATTAGTGTTAGGGTTAGGTCCCAGGACCTCAGAGTCTGACCACCAGGGGCTCAACCAACAGCACTGCAGTGATCTCCCTGGAGGGCTGAGTTGAGGGCACCTGTTAGGGTTTGGGTCAGGATTAGGACTGGGTTCAGGAACCAGATGACTGAGTAGGCCTGGGTTAGGTTTTGGCTCCACATCCCCATCTAAGCTCCATCCTGGCCTTGAAAATGTTACTGTGAAATTCTGCATTCTTCACTGCAATATTTTGTTCCAGTCATTTGCCCCAAATCTGCTCTTTCCTCAGACCTAAAAGGTGGGCCCCCTTAGGGCAAGAGCCTTGGTTATGGGTAGGGTTAGGTTCTGAGAGGTGGCAGGGGCAGAACTGACACCAGTTTAGTGATCTCCTTGGGGGGTTGAGTTGAGGGTCCTTGTTAGGGTATGGGACAGGCTTAGGGTTTGGGATCAGGGATCAATTATTTGTGTGTTCAGGATAAGGTTTTGGCATAGGATCCCCTTCTGCAGCTCCATTCTGACTCTGGAAATTTCATAGCAAACTCCTGGATTCCTTGCTGAATGATGCTGTGCCAGTCATGGGCCCCAAATCAGTTCTTTTCTCAGACCTAGGAGGTGGAACCTCCTTGGGGCCAGGCCATGACTAATGTTAGGGTTAGGTCCCAAGAGGAAGTAGGGGCCCAACCACCACTCATTCAGTGATCTCCTCAGACAACTGAGTTGAGGGCACGTGTTAGGGTGTGGGTCAGTCTTTGGCTTTGGGCTCAGGGGGAAACCTATTGTTTGGGCCAAGGTTAGGTTTTGGCTCAATATCCCCACCTGCAGCTCCATCCCAGCCATGAAAATGGCATGTCAAACTTCTGTGTTCTTCGCTGAATAATTCTGTTCAGGTCATGGTCCCCACATCCATTCTTATCTCAGACCTAGGAGGTGGAATCCCCCCTTAGCCCAGGCAATGGCTAGGGTTAGGGTTATGTCTTGGCAGGTGCCAGTTCAATGATCCAGGGGGCTGAGTTGAGGGCATGTGTTAGGTGTGGGTCAGGCCTAGGCTTGAATCTCAGGGGACAGCTTTTGGTTTGCGCCAGGGTCAGTTTTCGTTCAGGATCCCCATCTACAGCTCCATATTGGCCATGAGAATACTATAGTGAAATTCTGTGTTGGTAGCTTAATACCTCTGCTCTGGACATGGTCCCCTCTATCGTTTATTCCTCAGACCTAAGAGGTGGGCCGCCTTAAAGCCAAAGCTGCGACTAGGGTTAGGGTTAGGTTGAGGGAGGTGGCAGTGGTTGAACCACCAGCAGTGCAGTGATCTGCCCAGTGGGCTGAGTGTTAGGGTGCATGTCAGGCTTAGAATTTGGGCTCAGGGGCCTCCTGATGATGTGGGCCAGGGTTAGGTTTTGGCTCAGTATCCCCATGTGCAACTTCATCCTGGCTGTAGAAATGTCATGACAATATTCTGTGTTCCTTGCTTAATAATTCTGTGCCAGTCATGTGCCCCAAATTCATTCTTCCCTCACATCTATTAGGTGGGACCCTTTGGGGTCAGAGCCTCAGTGTAGCTTATTCCCTGAAGGGGCTGGACAGGTGGCTTTCCCATCCAGGGAAGCCCATGGGACCTCACTCACCCCTATTGAGAAGCTTTCCTGGCACTGGTTTCTCCCAAGCTTATCCTTCATAAAGGAAGTAAGAGCTGAGAATGCCCTCTCGATTCATGTGTGTACAGGCCTAGAGCCTCCCAGGAGCTAGGAGCCAAGCTTTGGGGCATCTCTCTGCAACCTCCCATCTTTGGAGGACTTCTTGTTTTTGAAGTTGACTGCATCAGGCTCCCTCTCCTTGTTTAGTCACTGTGGGCCAGCTTGTTTTGCTGTTTAACGCCTTTGGTTCATTTCATTAACTTATTAGTGGTGGGAAATCCAGGGTTCCTAAGCCAGAGGCCAGGTGCTTTCATGGGCATGGTCTTCCCCTCCCCCACTGGTAGGCAGTTTCCTGGGAACCCCATGGAAGGTGCTCTTCCCTGACTGAGGGTCCTGGGGTCTCCTTGAAGGCCCCTGATTGCTGTCACCTCCAGCTCCTCCCTAAACATCACCACCTGTCAGTTTGGTCTCTGAGAATGTTCCTTCATGGTCACTTCTCTATTGCCGGCATAGCCTGGAGCCCAGAAACAATGATGCCACCCCCCCCCCCCCCCCCCCCCCCCCCCCACATCCTGTTTAAAGAATAGAGAGATTGGGTTCAGGACAAATCATTTACATAGATAGTGATGTAGTAGGTATTCCCTTGTTAATCTGTCTTCTCAAAGAGAGAGAGATTTTGTTTGTAAACTTCAGACCCAGAAAATTTACTGTTCTGCCAGCATTAGATAATTATCTGTCCTCCCTGAAGCAGAATGCTGTTTCTCTGGAGCCCCGCCTAGCCATGTGCCTGTGCTGGACGCCATGTGCACAGTGAAGTGACAGGCCCCCAGAGAAGACTGCCAGGAGACTTGTGCGGACGCATAGGACCAGAGGCAGGGCAGTATGGCACTGTGTCCAGAAGAGGACGGTGGGGCCCTGACCAGAGAAGGCCTCCCTCCCCTCTGCTGTGGTACAGGGGGCAGGGCTCACAGGCTCGCTGGGCAGGGCTTTTGCAGTGCATGGGACAAGGGCATGCTGCATGAGAGAGGAAAGCTAGTTCTGAAAGCCTCAGTCTCCTCCCTGTGCCTTCACAGTGGGAGGCCGAACATTCACTCAGCATTGTGCCCACTGGGAAGAAACATCACCAAGAAGACCCCCTTCCACTTCTGCACAAGGCACACACTGTCTTTTATTTCTCTGTTTCTGAAGCGTGTCCAGGTCCCTGGAGAATCTCTCAGGACTGCACTGTAGGATCACCTTGCTAAGCTCAGAGTCCTCAGGCAGTGGCACCTGCCCTTCCAAGCATGCTGTGCTGCCTGTGATGCTTAAGCCCTGCATGCTGCCCACATCCAGGAAGTTTGAGAATTTTTCTAAGACCAGGTTGGGGAGGGGAGCAGAACCACCATGCCATTTGGCCTGGGCCCTGGGGAACCGCCCCCCTCCCCGCCACACCTCATCATCTGCATGTTCTGTGTGATGTTGGTGTAGGGGGCACCCTGGCTCAGGGGACACACCCCAGGACAGTAGAGAGCAGGGTCTGGCTTAGGCTGGGGCCTGACTGTGAGACCAAGCAGTGTAGAACCTTGCCCAAGGGAATACATGAGCCCATGAATCTTCTCCTCATGGGGACAGGAGATATTTCTTTGTGCACCCTGTCTGCACTCAGTGAGTAGTGAGTCCAAGATCAAGATGCCCACAGATCAGTTGTCTCTGAGAGCATGTTTCCTGGCTCCCAGACAGCACCTCTTTGCCGTGTCCTCACTTGGTGGAGGGGTGAGTGAGCTTTGTGGGGTCTCTTTTGTAAAGGCCCCACTCCCATCCATAGAGGCTCCATCCTCCTGATCTAAGCACCTCCCACAGGCCCTTCTCCTAACACCATCATCTTAGGTGTTGGGATTCTAATATGAGTTTGAGGGGCACACGAACATTCAGACCATAGAGGTATGGCATCTCCAGCCTCATTGCCAGCTGTCTCACGAAGGGTCTCCACCTTCCATAGACACTGCCTTTGGAAGTCCCAGATGAACCTATCCTCTGTTCCCTGCAGTCATGTCTTCAAAGCCACAACCTTCCTTGTAGCCTCTCTGTTGGGGATCAAGAATATATATATGCACTGGCATATATTTCAGGGACAATGTAGGCCAGGTGATCATCTGAACACTGAGGGCTGTGCAGGTATGCTGCGACAAGGCATACTTGTCCCTATGCCTGTCTGATGGAGCCAGTGTGTGCCATTTGCCCTGGGCCCTTCCAGGTGTGGGACTCTTGCTCAGGCTTGAGTTTTGGTCCCCACAAGCAGGAAAGGCTAATGTGACAGAGTGAGATTGGGCATGTTAATGTTTGCACCCCTGGATTTAGGTAATATGTTCCTCTGTCTCATCCCCTCTGCTTCTCACTGTGCCATTCAAATTTATTTAAAGAACTTTGTGATTCCAGCATACTGATTTGGTCGATGAGCCTTTGTGGTCCATGACCTCTGGGGTAACTTGTCCGGCAATGCACCTGGTGGAGACAAAGAGGTGTCTTCACCACCTCCTTCAGCTACAGCTCCTCCCTGTGCTCCAGAGGTGGAAGGAGACTTCCTGCCTGCCTTTGAGGGACTGTGCAATTATGGAGGCAACTGGCCCCAGCAAACAAACCCCGTGTTCTTCTGTGAGTCGGACACAAGGTCTGGGCTGGCCAGAAACAACTGTTTCTCAGGGCTGTCAACCTAAGGAAATTAAATGTCACCTGGAGTGTAGGGCTGTAGACTCTGTAAGATCAAACATTTTGGGTAACAAGAGTTTGGCACAGCCAGTTGGTCACATATGTGCATGTGACCATGTGACATGTGTGTGGATAACCCAGACATCCAGGAGGCCCTAAGTAGCCACATGATGTCCAGACAGTCACAGTGATGGCATGACTTTGCACGCAGGTGCAGCCCTCAGGCACCACCTTCTGACTGCTTGCTCTCTTCTGTGCTATATTCTAACAAGTGAAGCTGCAGGATGGCTGGAACATAGACCATGGAAGGTAGGAGGTGGTTGCTCTTGCAGGAGAAGCATGCTGGCAGCAGTGACATGAGCAAGAATGGGGAAACCGTGAGCAGCAGATCCAAGAAATAAAAAAGCCAGTAGATGGGTAAGGGGGTGTCAGGGCTGCTTCCTTGGGAACCTCATTGCTTTACTGTTCAATGAGCCATGGCCTGGCCTTGCAGACATGTGTGCCAAAGCCCCAGTGGGACCTGGGATCGCCCAGGCATCTCTACCGTGTGCTCGTCAGCCATAACTCAAGCTTGTGTCCTTCTCACCTTCTGAGGATCAAGGGTATCGGTGGTCCTTGCGAAGTACATCCTATGTCTTCACAAGTTTGCAAACATCACAGTTTGCAAAGGGATTACACTGGGGACCTGGATTCCCGATGCAGTACTTTCTGATTTCAGGATGCTTATTCATTGGCAACCTGGTGAATTCTGTAAATAGGGCCCATGTTTGTTAATTCAGCTGCATCAAAGATAATAAGATCAAATAAGGTCCTTTCATAATACATTAGTTGACATAAAATCCAATTAGATATTTCTGAAAATCTTGAGTTGACAGAGAAGGCTGCCCTCACCAGTGAGTTTTCCAGAAAATGAGCCCTGACTCATGGAGCAGCAACTCAAAGATTCATCTTGTAGTTGAGACCCTCCTGTAAGCTCCCCTCCCATGGCTTGTGTCAGGTCTCCTGCTGCTGCCAAGTGGGGATCAGCCCCAGGGTTGGCCTCCTTTCCATGACATTGTACTTGGCCTCAGCACAAGCAGATGGACTGCTGGCATGGAGGCTGGAACCGGGAACTAACAGAATCTGATCCCAGGTGTAATTTCTAAGGGGATCCAGTATGCAGAGCAGAGCCACCAGGTACATGGGCTGGCTTAGAGAGATGTCCATAGTTTTGGAACAACCCCTGGATGCCCCCTTCCCACCTCCTCCTGCCACCAGCAGATACTGAGAGATTCTATTACCAGGTGAGTGAAGGGCATCAGCCCAGGGACACGGAGGGCAGCAAGTTGTCCCCAGCTCTGACTGCTCCCCACTCTGGGCCCATCCATGGCAGCATCAAGACATCTTTGGCCTCAACTACTGTTTCAGGAAAACACTTGAAAACGCTAATCTCAGCATTTATTTCCAAGGTTCCAAGCCACATCTGAGGAATGAAAGATCAACAACAATGCAAAGACAGCCTCTCAGCTCAGCCCTGCTCACCAGCCCTGAGTTCCAGGGGTCCAAGGGTCCAGAGGGAAGGACTCATAGGGTTGGGGAAGACAGTCTTCTCAGCATCTACTCTAAAGGGGTGTCAATTTCTTGGCTTATCCCCCTGCACCCTGCAGATATCCAACAGAATATGTGGGTTTTCTGGAAACTTGAGGGCTGTAGTGGGCGGTGGGGGCATTCTAGGCCGTGTTTTTGAGGAAAGATGCTGCATGGTTAAGACCCCAGGCCTGGATGCTCTGGGGATGCGCCGGCTGTAGATGTGTTCAGAGGTCATGGCAATGCTCAGGGCTCTGTGGTCAGTGGTGGGCCTGGGGTCAGTGGGCCCCTGCAATGTCCTTCCTGCACAGAGTGGGGCTTTTTTGTCTTTGCAATCCCAATGACTGGTTGGCACCTGTGCCTAGGTAGGCACTTAGGAGATGTTAAAAATAGAATATTAGAGCTAGTCCAGCCCAGTATGCTGCTCCCGCTTACCCACCATGCTCTGGTATCTCCCTTGATGCCTGCTTGGCACAATGTATCTGGAGGACCAGTGCCTGGGCAGAAGCTGTGCCCATCGGTGGTCAACAAGAATTCCTTGAATGCCTGATGTGTTAAGGAACTTCTCTGATCCCAACGTGAAGGGTGAGGAGACAGTTGCTGGGGTGGGGGTGGGGGGTCAGAGTGAATAGGGGAATCAATGGCTGGAATCCCCCAAGACTCTGATACTTGGAAGGGCCCAGAGATGGTGTTCATGGGTAAGGCAGGCACCCTCCCTCCCAGCCCATTTTATTCCTCTCTGGCCCACCTCTCAGAAGTCTTCATGGGAGGGCCCCCTTGTAGGTAACCTCTGATGTGTCTGATGACCAAAGTGTCACCCGGATCACATACTTGAGCAAGGGGTGTCCTATGAGGATTCTGACCCTAAACCATGAAATGCATGTGCAAACTTGTAACACCCCTCTCCAGGACAGCATCCTCAGTCAGGACTGAGAGAAGGAGCCCTGGCATGGAAGCAGTTGCTTGGTCCTCGTGCCCTCAGAACCGGGCCTTTCCCATGTGTGAGGGAGGCACTTGGTGTGCTGTTGTCCATCACTTCCTCACTGTCTGGTCCTTGCCTCTCCCCACAGGGGTCGTTGCAGGAAAAGCTTCTTAGGGTTCATCCCTTTCAATTTCCCTCTTTCTTCCCTCATTGAGGAAAGTTCTGAAGCACATTCTCTTGTTCCTTTGTAAAACCATTGTTTCAGAGTTGGAAACATCACCAGGTGACAGCTGAGCCCACCGTTGTCTTAACTAATAATTAATCAGGGGAGCTCAGGAGGAAATCAGAACCACTGCAGGTCCCACCAGTGTCCTCACTGGGAATGAATCCCATCAGGGCACCAGGGGTCATTGACGTCAGGGCAGCCATGCCCTCCGCACTGATGCTCCTCCTTCCTCTCAGCTGTTGTAGGTTTTTCGTTAGTTGTTGTGTGGTGTGTAAGATAGGGGTCTAGTGTTATGTTTGGGCTGTCCAGTTTTCCCAGCACCATTCATTGAAGAGACTGTCTTTTCACCATTGTGTATTATTGGCTCCTTTGTTGTGAATTAATTGCCCACATATGTGTGGATTTGCTTCTGGTCTCTCCATTCTGCTCCATTGGTCTTTCTGTCTCTTAGCCCATAGCATACTGTTGGTTACTGTAGCTTTGTAATATAGTTTAAAATCAGGGAATGTGATGCCTCCCAGTTTGTTCTTCTTTATACACATACTTTGGCTATTCATGGTCCTCTGCGGTTTCATACACCTTTTAGGATTTTTCTAGTTCTGTGCAAAATGGTACTAGAATGTTGATCAGGAGGGATTACATTGCATCTGTACATCACTTTGGGTAAAATGACAATTCTATAGTATTCACGTTTATAATCCAGGAACACATAATATCTTTCCATTTCTTCATCAATGTCTTATCATTTCCATGGTATAGGTTTTTCATGTCTATGGTAAAGTTTTTTCTAATTGTTTTCTTAACTTCTTTTGATGGTTCATTATGCGTTTGTCCAATGTAATGATTTTTGTATCTTGATTTTGTATCCTATAGTTTCACTGAATTTGTTTATTTGTTTTACCTTTGTTTTGTTTTGTTTTGTTTTTTGGTGGAGTGATGTGGAAGATTGGAACTCAAAATGGCATGTTTCTACCATATCCTTGGCCATCCACAACATCCATAGCATAGTGGCCCTAATATAATTCTACCACAGTGTCCTTTAGTAATATGCTGCATCTTGTGAACTGTGTCCAGGTAGGGTTTGGCCTCCATAATGAAGTTTGATGTGTTCTACACCTTTCTGGTATGTTACTAATATAGTTGTTTTGAGAAGTAATGTAGTTTCCATGATTTTCCAACATATAGAAAGTCTGCAATAGCTGTAGAAATACTCTATCTCTACACTCAGCTTCACCAGCTGTCATTTTACACAGTTGCCACTTCTTATGATGTACTTCTTTGTTTTTTATTCAAAACAGGACACCTTCCCCAGGAACTGTCATAGAACTCCCAAACAGGGAAATCATTATGGTTTCCTCATTATAATCGAATCCAGAGGCCACTTCAAGTGTCATCACCTGCTCGAACTCTGTGACAATGACTCCTGTTGTGACCCACTTTTCTGCCCTTGAGACTTTCACTCACTTCACAACCATGATTGATTTAAAGATCATAGAGGGCTCCAATCTGGGCAGCCTTTTCTGTGTGGCTTCTGTAATTTAGTATGTTTTCAATCTTTGTTCATGTTGTGACATGTTTTAGTACTTTAGTCATGATTTTAATTGTGGTTCAATTTTTAAAACATAATAGTAACCATTTAAAAGATTTTTTAAAAGTTTTTTTTAAATGTTTATGTATTTTTGAGAGAAGAGAGAGAGAGAGCAAGAGAGAGAGAGAGAGAGGATGAGTAATGGAAGGGTGGAGAGAGAGAGAGACAGAATCTGAAGCAGGCTCCAGGCTTTGACCTGTCAGCACAAACCCCAATGCAGGGCTTGAACCCACAAACTGTGAGATCATGACCTGAGTCGAAGTTGGACACTTAACTGACTGAGCTACTCAGGCATCCCTAAAACATTTTAAGTCTACAGTTGTATGCCACTAAATATATTCCCATTGTGCACAAATCACCACCTTCCACCTTGAGAATGTTTGAATCTCAACCAAGTGAAAGTCTATGTATTTTAAAGATTAACTACCCATTCCCCTTTCCCCTCTGCCTGGCAACCATATTTTACTTTTTGTAGGTGAATTTGATTATTTTGGATACCCCAAACAAGTAGAATCTTATAAGATTCTTTTCTGTGATTGGATTATTACCCTTGCATAGTGAATTCACGGTTCATCCATATTTTGATCTGAATCAGTACTTTAGTCCTTTGCATGGCTGGGTAATATTCCATTGTGTATACATCACCCATTTACCCTTCAATGGTTAGCTTAGCCTTTTGACTATTGTGCATGATGGTGCTACAAATTTGGGGGAAGAAATACAGAGTGAGTCCCTGCTTTAAAATATTTGGGGTATATACCTGGATGTATACTGATTAATTCTATTTTTAAGATTTTGAGGAACTCCCATTCAGTTTTCCTCAGTAGCTGCACAAATTTATTTCATTTTTTGATATGTTGGAAGAACATTTCAGTTTATGGATCTACCCCATGTTGTTGTATATTCATTTACCCTTTGTGGCATGTTTGGATATTTTGTACCATTTTCCAATTGTGAATAGTATTGGTATGAATATTTATGTTGGCTTTGGTTATGATTACAGTTCTAGTTCATGATGTGTGAATCATGGTGTGTGGTTTATAGATTACGGTTTCAGTATTTTATTGTTTAGTGGTGTACGGTTTTGGGTTAATGGCATATGGCTTTTCGGTCACACGCCCTTATGATTTGGGTGTTTTTGTGTGAGGAGGTGGGAAGAAGAGTGTTATGGGGTTTGAGATGAAATGTTTCTTGTGGGTGAGTGGATGAGGGGGGTAAGCTGGTGGATGTTTGTGGAGGGAGGGTTTAGGAGGTTCAGTGGGTGGTGTGTGGGGGAGCCAGCGGGTTCAGAATTTGGAAGTGATGGTTTAAGGTGAGTGAGTGAGGGTTTGAGAAGGTAATTGTTCAGGTGGTAAGGGGGTGACAATATCGGGTATAGGTTTAGAAGGTTTTGGGGATGAGTGCTTATTAGTTGAGAGATTAGAGAGATCAGGTTCTAATGGCTTAGGGCATGAGGGTTTAGGAAATGAGGATGGGAGTAGGGTGGGCCTTGAGTCATTGGAGATAATGGTTAATGTGTTTAGGCTGGGGTGGTGGAAGATGCACGGAGAACCCGGTTGTCCAGAGAACTCATTAGGGAGAGCACTAGACTGATTAACTGGAATTTGTGGTAAAAGGTAAAAGACCTTGAGAGAGCTAGGGCTTAGGATCAGGGTACATTCTGAATTCAGATACATGGTTTGCAAATATTTTCTCTAAGTTTGTGGCTTGTCTTGGTTTTTTGAACAAGGTTTATCAGGGTAGAAGTTTTATTTTACAAAGTCCATGTTATCCATTTTTCTCTTCTTGGTTGGTCTTTGTGTCTGTGTTTTATTTTTTAAAATGTTTGTTAATTTTGAGAGGGTGAGGGTGAGGGTGGGGGTGGGGGTGAGTCTGAGGGTTAGGGTTAGGGTTATGGTTAGGGTTAGGGTTAGGTTAAAGCTTAGGTAAGGGTTAGTGTTAAAGTTAGAGTTACAGGGTTAGAGTTAGAGGGATAGAGGGTTAGAGAGTTAGGGTTAGGGTTCGGTTGAGGGATATGGTTAGGGTTAGGGTTAGGTCTCCGGAGGCTCCAGGCTCTGTACCGACAGCAGTGCAGTGGTCTCCCTGGAGGGCTGAGTGGAGGGCACAAGGGAGGGTGCCAGTCAGGGTTACTCTTTGCTTTCCAAGGCCACACAACTCTATGGGCCACTGTTCGGGTAGGCCGCAGAAATCCTCTCTGGCAGATTCAGCCGGGCCTGGGAAATGACATAGTGATGTTGCAGGTTCTACACCCAGTGATCTTGCACCACTTCTGGACCCCAGGCTTGTGGTGTTGTCAGAGTTTGGTTGGAGCCTTAGCTAGGGTTAGGGTTCTGTCCAGGGACGTTGCCAGGGCCAACGGGACTCCACTCTCATGATCTCCCTCGAGGGCTGAAGTGAGGGCCCATTCAACAGTGAGGGTCAAGTATAGGTTTAGGATTCGAGATAGGCTTATGCTTCAGTTGAGAGATACGGTTAGGGTTAGGGTTAGATCCCAGGAGGCTCAGGCTCTGAACCCACAGCAGTGCAGTTGTCTCCCCGAAGGTCTGAGTTAAGGCACAAGGGAGGATTCTGGTCAGGATTAGTCTTTGGCTTCTAAGGCCACACAACTCTCTGGGCCACTATTGGGTAGGCCTCAGGAATCCTCTCGGTCAGCTGCAGCCGGGCCTTGGAAACAACATGGTGCTATTCCAGGTTCTATGCCGAGTGATCCTGAACCACTTCTGGACCCCATGTGCGTGGTGTTTTCAGAGTTTGGTATTGGGTCCCCGTGAGGCGAGAGCATTATGTAGGGTTACAGCTTGGTCCACGGATGTCGCCAGTGCCGAAGCGACTCCCGTCTCGTGATCTCTCTCGAGGGCTGACTTGAGGGCCCATGGTTTGGTGTGGGTCATGTGTAGGGTTAGGGTTATATATAGGGTTAAGGGTTGGTTGAGAGTTATGTTTAGGGTTACAGATAGGGTTAGGTGTCAGGAGGCTCCAGGTGCTGAACCCACAGCTGTGCAGTTGTCTCCTAAAGGGCTGAGTTGAGGGCACAAGGGAGGGTGCCAGTCAGGATTAGTCTTTGGCTTCCAAGGCCAGACCAGTGTATAGGCCACTTGTCAGGTAGGCCTCAGGAATCCTCTCTGGCAGCTGCAGCCTGGGCTTGAAATGACACGGTGAAGTTCCAGGTTCTATGCCGAGTGATTCTGCACTGCTTCTGGATCACACGTGCATGGTGTTTTTAGACTTTGGTATTGGGCCCTGTGAAGAGAGAGCCTTAGCTAGGGTTGCTGGTTGAGCTCAGGACGTTGCCAGGGCCAAAGCGACTCCAGTCTCGTGATCTCCCTCGAGGGCTGAAGTGAGGGCCCATGTGACGGTGCGGGTCAAGTGTAGGTTTAGGGTTTGAGATAGGGTTAGGTTTTGGTTGAGGGTTATGGTTAGGGTTACAGTTAGGGTAAGGGTTAGGGTTAGGTCCCAGGAGGCTCCAGGCGCTGAATCCACAGCAGTGCAGTTGTCTCCCCAAAGGGCTGAGTGGAGTGCATAAGGGAAGGTCCGGTCAGGATTAGTCTTTTGGTTCATGGCCAGAGAATTGTATGGGCTACTCGTCAGGTAGGCCTCATGAATCCTTTCTGGCAGATGCAGCTGGGCCTTGCAAATGACATGGTGACGTTCCAAGTTCTATGCCAAGTGATTCTGCACCTCTTCTGGACCCCATGTGTGTGGTGTTTTCAGAGTTTGGTATTGGTCCCCATGAAGCTAGAGCATTATGTGGGGTTACGGTTTGGTCCATGGATGCCCTCAGTGCCGAAGCAACTCCAGTCTCGTGATCTCCCTTGAGGGCAGACCTGAGGTCCCATGGTATGGTGTGGGTCATTTGTAGGGTTAGGGTTCTATATAGGGTTAGGGGTTGGTTGAGGGTTATGGTTAGGGTTATGGATAGGGTTAGGGTT